CGACTTGCCGCCGTCCTCATAGCCAGGTAAGTCGACCTAAAATACGCAACTTCACGTAGCTGAAGTTGCGTATCTTAGGTCGACCCCCCCCCCCCTAGGGTAGACCTAGCCTTCGAGTTGCTGGGGCCCAGGGCAGAAATTCAAAGCCCCACTGCCTGGGGCTGAAGCCCAGGGCCCTATCACCCGGGGCTGAAGCCAAAGCCTGAGCAAGGTAGCTTCATGGGGGCCCCTGTGGCATAAGGCCCCAGGCAGTTACCCTGCTTGCTAACCCCTAACACCAGCCCAAGCTTTAATATGCAGAAAACCGGCTATTGTAGCACAGGGAGGCCATGAAAATTTTATAGCATGTTGGGTGGGCCTCAGAAGGAAAATAGTTAAACACACCTGCCTTACCCAACTGTTCCTGACTATGGTCGTGGTCAGGGTGACCCAGGCCGCTTGGGGTCGATCTCTTGTCCCGTCATTTCCCAACAAGCTCAATAGCACTTTATTGCCCTGAAACTCCAAACTTAATTGTATTTTAAGCAGAATGTCCCAAACTGTGAAATAACTGAAATGCAAATGGGCCCTGGCCCAGTCTGTCATTTCCCCTGGCTCGCTAACAGCTGCCAGCAGAAAGCTCCCTCCCCCTGGAGCCCCTGCCCGCCTGGAGCTCACCTGCAGCTCTGGGCTGCGCTTCTCCCTGTTCACCAATAGATATCACTACCAAGCTGCCTACAGATTTAGGAGTGCAACTGTGGGATGTGGTTGCTTGGGGAGGAGGCTTAACAGCCCTGGGACTCACTTCTGGTTTATGTCTTATGTGCCTAAAAGCTCATGCTTCCGGGTTACAGCTAGCCACTTGCAGGAGTCAGGAAGGGATTTTCCCCCAGTGTATTCTGGGAGGGCTTTTTAATCTCCTTCCTTTGAAACCTCAGGGATGGCCAGGGCTAGACATGAGACACTGGATGGGGAGGGCCAGGGCTCTGGGGTGGCACCGAGCACTCTCTCTCAGGAGCGTGGCTGGCTGGCTCATGCTCAGCTTCTAACTGATCGCCCCATGTGGGGTCAGGAAGGAATTTCCACCAGGTCAGATTGGCAGTAACCTTCTGGTTTTTTCACCCTCCTCTGCAGTGTGCGGGTGCAGGTCATTTGCCAGGATTATCTGGGTGGATCTCGCCTAATCCTTTCCCTGACATTGCAGGGTCCTTGGTTCTGGTGTCCCTCAGTCCCTCCTGTTCTCTGCTTGGGACATGTAAAGTCTAGGCTCCTATGGGCTGCAATACTTTGGTCTAATTTCAGTTGTTAGGTTTAGTGTGCAGGTGCTGGGTGTGATCTGTGAGACACAGGAAGTCAGACTAGAATGATCTGCTGGTCCCTTCGGGCCTTTGCTCTAGGGCTCTCTAGGGGGTCAGGCCCCAGGACCAAGGACTTCCCAGTCAAATGTGTAATTGGATGTTGAAGTAGAGAAGACAAGGACTGGCTCTGGCCAAAGCCCATGTTCCTGTTTCATTGCATAAATACCTCACGTCTGCAGTTTAGCTCAGGTTGCCACTGAATTTCGAGTCTGCTGCACGAGAGCACAGACGCCTGAGGCCAACATGCTGCAGCTGCGTTCCCGCACAGCACAGGTGAGCTGTGTCCTGAGGCCGGGCCCCGATTTCCGCAGCACATCAGCATCAATACCCAACGCTTTAAACACACGCGTCCGACACGCGCCCTGTGAACGCCTTAAACACACGCGTCCGACACGCGCCCTGTGAACGCCTTAAACACACGCGTCCGACACGCGCCCTGTGAACGCATTAAACACAGCCATGTTTTGCCAGCTCCTGCTTGCTCTGTAACAGGCAGGTGTGGGTTACACACCACTGCTGTTCTCACCTCCCATTCAGCGCGCAATGTGATCTGAAAAAATGGGTGTGTGTGTGTGTGTATGTGACTAGCACAGTCCCACATCTGCCCACCCCTATACCCCCCCAGCCAGGAATCAATCCTGTCCCCCAGACCCCACATTAATCCCCCCACACACCTCACCTCTGCTCCTCCTAGGGATCTCCACCCTGCTCTCCCAGTCTGGGGTGGGGGAGAGGGAGGCTGCAGCGGGGTCCTCTCTGCCCCTTCCCATCTGGGTGCTGTGGGGAGGGAGGGGCAGGAGCAGAGGGCCATCCTTCATTCTCACGGGAGGGGGGAGAGGGAGAGACTCTACCTGCTCCCTGCAGCAGACCCGGGGCAGTGAGTGGGGAAAGAAGCCATTCAGAAATAATCTTTTTGGTACAAGGTTTAAGTCTCCATCCTTTGCAGCAGTGGCCATCTCTCTTTCATGTCACCATTTAGGACTGCTGTGATTGAAACCCTGGTCCTGTGCTTCCAGACAGCTGTCATCTGCGTAGATAAAACGCCTGGCCATGGTGTTGGGAAGTCATTTGTGAAGAGGTTGAAAGGTGTCAGAGCTAGAACTGAGCCCTGAGGTAGACCCTTGTTTTGGGACCTTCACATGCTACTGTTTGTCCAAGTGAAGCTTGGAATCCGTGGCCTCTCGGCCGTAGCTCCATAGCCCTGAGAGCCCCCGGCAGCCGGCCCAGTGACAGTCTGTACAGCTGTAAGAGTTATGAATTCTGCTTGGCCTGGCCGCCAGGCTCGCGGTGGGGGTGAGTGCCAGCCCGTGATCACAGGTACTGCGGTTTGATCTGAAACTTGCCTGAGCTACACGCAAGAGATCAGCAGCAGTGGGGCACGTCGATGAAGGCTGAGTACATGCAGCTTAGCTAAGAGAGGGCGCAGCAACTTGCTCAGCGTCGATGGTCTCTCTCTCCCCGGTTTTGGCCAGGCTGTTTTGCTCTGCACCAGATCTTATGTATTTTATTTGCCTGGATAATGCTAGATAGAAAGATGGCTGTTGGCTAGCCTAGTGCTTCTCCCTCCCCAGGCTGCTGCTCAGTGCAAAGTACCCACTGACCAGCAGCTGCATCATGTATTTTCTCCAATGGTCCTTGCTACTCGCCCACCTTTCGGCTGCCCTCTAGCTGCAGTGGGATCTGTGGGGTTGGCTCTGGGGGCCAGAGTGGTGCATGCTCAGCTTATATTTCTCCACCTCCTTTCTGCCATCTCAGGTCACCCAGACCATCCATGGAAACCTTGTATTCTGCCCTCCAGGACGAGATCCGTGCCTTCGAGGCACAAGTGCAGAGCTGCCAGAAAGACTTTGACCTGCACACGCTTCACAACGTGCTGCTGCTGCTGCTCCCCGGGAGCCCGACCTGGGAGGTGAAAAGCCTGGAGCAGCTGGAAAAGCTTGTTGAGGGCAGGGACTGGCCATGCCAGGACACTGTGAAAATGACAGGCAGCGCTGAGAGTTGTGATGTCCCTGGCTACGTCGCCTGGCTTGGCTCCTACCTGGGGTACTTAAATGCTTTAAAAGAGACGTTTGATGCCAAGGTCGTGTTCCCTTTGTGTGAGCACCTGTATGTCCACGATGAGCTGTATGCCAGGGCTGAGTGCCGGTCTCCCGTGGGTTCCCGCAGCGGATCTGGTGCTGGGCACAGCGGGGAGAAGAGGCCCCACGCTGTGACCTCCATCGCAGATATCGCCAAGCAACTGTTTGCCGTCAGGAGGAAGTGGGCCTTGCTGCTCACCCGGGGAGTGATTGACGACCGAGTCTTCGGCCCCCAGAGCCTGTGCGCCCTGCGGGGCTTTGCCAACATTGGCCCCGTCGTGAAGGTTCTGAGGCTGGTCCCTGACATCTTTCACAAGAGCTTGGCCACGGCGGCGCTTGCCAGGCAGTGGCTCAGTCTCCACAGAAGCAGATACAGCGTCTTCCAGCTGCCACCAGAGCCAGGCCAGGAGAAGGGCGAGCGTAGAACTGGGCTGGCTCCTGGCACCTCTGAGCCCTGGAGGAATGGAGTGGCCATCAGCCTTCCTGAGTCTGCCAACGGCTGCAGCAGTTTCTCAGGCCAGTTACATCCCAGACCCAGGAGAAGCAGCAGCAGCAGCAGCTCCCATGATGGATGTGGCTGGCTGGGCAACATCAGTGCGACGCGAACCAAGCTGCGGGAGAGTCGCGAGGAGCTGATGGCCCTGCTCTGGCGAGTGGAACGTGCTGGAGTGCTGGAAACTCAGCTGCACGAGCTAACCCAGAGCATCTCCAGCCTGCAGCTGGAGCAGCAAGACACAAGGCGCAAGCTCGACGTTTTCCAGCAGAGACTGGAGCAGGCAGACTGGGACATGCCGCTGCTTAGCAGCCAGTGCCAGGCAACGCTCAGACAGCTGGAGGACCTGGGGCGGCACATGGAGCTGGAGGAGTATCGTAAGAGCATCTTGCAGAGCGACTGGCTGCTGGAGCTGGAGCTGAGACCATGTCTTCTTCGGCAGCTTGATGCAGTAAGAGGCTTAGCTGCTGTCACGGGTCGCGAATCTCATCCCTGAATGGTGTGTGGGTGACGCCACATTCTGGAGTGTCAGGTGTATTCCCCCCCCACACACACAGTGAGGGTGTGGGCCTGTGTTTGTGGTGTGGGGGCCTCTGGGTGTCTGTGGGCCCGAGAGTGTGAGTGAGCGTGTGCGCACGAGAAGGGGCGTGGGGTGTCGGTGGGCCCGAGAGTGTGTGTGTGTGCGAGAAGGGGCGTGGGGTGTCTGTGGGCCCGAGAGTGTGAGTGAGCGTGTGCGCGCGAGAAGGGGCGTGGGGTGTCTGTGGGCCCGAGAGTGTGAGTGAGCGTGTGCGCGCGAGAAGGGGCGTGGGGTGTCTGTGGGCCCGAGAGTGTGAGTGAGCATGCGCGCGCGAGAAGGGGCATGAGGTGTCTGTGGACCCGAGAGTGTGAGTGAGCGTGTGCGCACGAGAAGGGGCGTGGGGTGTCTGTGGGCCCGAGAGTGTGTGTGTGTGCGAGAAGGGGCGTGGGGTGTCTGTGGGCCCGAGAGTGTGAGTGAGCGTGTGCGCGCGAGAAGGGGCGTGGGGTGTCTGTGGGCCCGAGAGTGTGAGTGTGTACGGGCGAGAAGGGGCGTGGGGTGTCGGTGGGCCTGAGACTGTGAGAGAGGGGGCCAGGGGTGTGTGTGGACCTGAGCCTCCGAGTGAGTGTATGTATGTGAGAGAGAGGCCCTGGGGTGTGTGTGCACGCACACAAATCGATGAACATGGGCCTGTGGGTGCAAATGGCCATGTGGGGCCCGAGGAGGAGACTGCTAGCCAGGGTATGGATCTCAGGCCAGCTGAGACTGAGGGCAGCAGGAGGGAGTGGGAGCGGGGCCATCTAGTAGGAGAAAGGGGCTCCCACAAGGGGCGGGCGAGGATTCTCAGGGCAGATGTGGCAGCCGGAGTGGAATCCTGTAGGGCCCGACCCTGCTGTCAGTACAGGGGCCAGCGCACGGGTGACGCCTTCTCCTCTTCCCCAGTTGCAGCAGCGCTGCAGAGAGCTGGAGCAGTCGCTACAGGCTAGGGACCAGGCCGCACTACAGCATCTCCTGCCAGCAAGTAGGACGGACTCTGCTTCCCTCGGTGACTCCGGGCATTGCTCCACCGCGTCTCCCATGCCGACAAATAAAGGCTGAGTCCTGCCCTCGGGGAGGGACAATGGCAGGAGGGACTGGACCCCGTTTTGCTGCCTCTGTTAATTGACAGACTCCGTATGCATGTGTGTGCGTTGCTCAATGCACATGCGTGTCTGCCACACCACCCTCTCCTGGATGGAGTCTGACCTGCCTTCCAGGGGTGGGAGCCCTACAGCTGCTGCTGCCAGCGGCTCGCCGAGATTTGGGGGCACGTGTTTCAGGAACAGAAGTTAAACCTGGACAGTGAGAGCAGGAGGGACTCAGCTCCCGCAGCTGTGATTGCAAGGACTAGCGGCATCTGCCCAGCAGAGTCAGGCCCCCCAGGCCAGCTCAGTGTCCTGAAGAACAAGGCCAAAAGCCTTGAGCCGCCAACATCCCCCCACCCCCAGCAGTGTATCACTCAATTGATCCTTCCCTGCAGCGTCCCTGTCGTCCCAACACTCAGCCCACCTGCCACCTAGGACCCGCACAGCGCCGGCCCTAGACTCTGCCGCCAGAGGGGGGCAGAAAATGCACCCAGGATGCTGGGTGATGCCGATGGTATTTCCAGGTAACCCATAGGGGTGTCTGTGCTGTGTCCCAGCTGAGCCCACAAGCGGTTCCAGTTCCCCAGGGACCAGCCTAGGGCTGGAGCTCTCCAAATTACATGCCATCAGCAAAGGCCTGGGCCAGCCCAGCCCTAGGGCCCCCATCCACAAGTTTAGCAGCAGCCCCCAGAGCTGGGCCCCCAGAGCGCCCTGCTAGGAATCTTTGCCCCCCTATTGCACTGTATCCATGGGGTCACGCCGCATGGAGGACGCCAGTTAGTAGCCCAAAATGGCATCCTCCATATACTTGGGCTTGCCACAGCCACCGCCACTGATGGAACGACCCCACTTGGGGCCACGACCCAGACTTTGGGAACTGCTCTGCTTGCCCTTTGTAACCTGGCTGACGCCCCACGTCTCAGGCCCAGCCTGGCCAGGCTGAGACTCGCACGTTTGTGGCGTTTACATCCTTGTCCTGGGCACTGAATTCTGCTGCATGAGTCTGGGGTAGACGGAGACTGGGCAGCCACTCCCATTACCCCCTGGGCCAGTCATTTCCGCTGTAGGCAAGATTCCCCTGTAACTCCAAGCAGTTCAGCGCCGTGGCAGAGATGCTGGTGATGGGAGAGCACGAGCAGCTGGCTTTTCATAGGTTTCCCCCCCCCCCAGCAAGGGTCGGGCCAGGCTCTACAAACAAGGGTAAAGCCAGAATATAAGAACAGCCGTACCGGGTCAGACCAAAGGTCCATCTAGCCCAGTATCCTGTCTACCAACAGTGGCCAATGCCAGGTTCACTCCCTCTGGGGTACCTAATAGGCAATGATCAAGTGATCTCTCTCCTGCCATCCATCTCCACCCTCTGACAAACAGAGGCTAGGGATACCATTCCTTACCCATCCTGGCTAATAGCCATCAATGGACTTAACCACCATGAATTTATCCAGTTCTTTTAAACGCTGTTATAGTCCTAGCCTTCACAACCTCCTCAGGTAAGGAGTTCCACAAGTTGACTGTGCACTGTGTGAAGAAGAACTTCCTTTTATTTGTTTTAAGCCTGCTGCCTCTTAATTTCATTTGGTGACCCCTAGTTCTTGTATTAGGCAGCGGAGGAGAAGACTGAGATGGGGAGGGGAAGGGACTCAGCCAAGGCGCACAGGGCAGAACTCGATTAGAATCCAGGTGTCCTGACTAGCCCTGCTCGAACCTCGAGACTGAGTGCACAGAGCCAGCTGAAAGGGAGCCTGCTTCATGTAGGGCTGGGGGTTGTGTCTGCCAGCCAGGAGACCCAGCTGGGTAGGTCCTGCGGGCTCCTCTGCCACGGAGCTCGGGACAGGGAAAGCCTTGGCTCTGTGGGGCTTCCCGCAGCCCTGCTCTTCTCACCCCTTCCCCGTTTTCTGAGTGGCACCAGTGGGTCAGAGCAGGAATTCAGTCCCCTGGCATCCCCCACCCACAGCTCTGTGTGGACATTGGGCTTCAGTGCCACTTCCAGGGTTCCCAGGCCATGGGTGGATGGGGTAGAAACATGATCAGGCAGCCCCAGTGGTCTCCTGGACCTGCTGCCCTGGAGGAGCAGCTGTTCCCCCATGGGCTGTAGCATGCACAGAGACTCGGTAGCTCAGTTCCTGTGAAGAGTTTATTGGTGCAGCCATTGCCACTACGGGTAGATGAGTCACAACGCACAGCCAGGCTGGCAGGGACGCAGCAACAGCAGGCCTCCTACACGACACAGGGACAGGACACGCAGCCACAGACACACATCTCTTACCCAGGAGGCTTCACTGGCATCACAGGGGCGGTTGGTGTGCCAGGCTGTGGCCCGGCGGGAGCAGGTGCCCGGCCCTCCACCAGGCTGGTATCCATATGGCCCTGTGGCTGTAGTGAGCACCCCCACGTGTGAGGTAGGGAAGGATCAGCCCCATTTCACAGATAGGAAACTGAGGCAGGGAGAGTCAGTAGCTTTGCTGAGGTCCCACAGGAAGTTCTGGTGGAGGCAGGACTCCCAGGCCAGCGCCTGCACCACAAGGTCCCCCTTCCTCTCATACCTGTGTGGAGGGGCCGGGCACCTGCCTTCTCTGGCTTTGTCACATCAGGACCACCTGCCCCACCGAGCCTTCGTACCAGTGACCCTCGGGCTCCATGGCAGTTACCCCACCCCAGGCTGTGAGCGCCGCTGGCAAGAGCTGCAGGGAGAGCTGGGCTCTGAAGGGCCCAGGCAGCAACCCACATGAGGCCTCAAACCCTGACGGCTGGAGAGACCTTGGCCTTCCAGGTGGGAAGACATTCAAGGTTGCCCAGGGACAGGCCTGGGTGCCAGGGGCTCTGGCTATCAGGTGCCTCCAGACACTGTGGGTGGCCCAGGTATGGGGATAGGAGAGGAGGGGAGCCACAGCAACCCAGTCACCGAGGCCTGGGTGGCCCAGTCACTGTGGTGGAGGCTGTGTCCTGGTGACCCCAACACCCGTGCTGTGGATGCCTGCTGCTGGGAGACAAGGTGCGGGAGGGAACATCTTTTACTGGACCTGCTCCTGGTGGTGAGAAAGGTGCTTTCAGACTGCAGAAGACCTCGGGGTAAGCGCCAAAGCTGCTCGCTCACCAGCTGAAGTTGGTCCAATAAAAGTTCCCTCCCGCACCTCGTGTCTCTAATATCCTGGGACTGACATGGCTACAACCTGCCGCATGCTCCATGGGGAGACACTTCCTCTGGAAGCCCTCTCAGCCCTGCCTGCTCTAGGAGGCCCCTCCTGCTGCTCCTTCCCCTGCAGACATCACAATCCTTAACACTGACATCACAGCTGGTTACTGTGGAAATGCCCATGACCTCAGACCCCTCCACCCCAGAAATACAACTTGGAGCGATCAGCAGGGAGGGCAGGCACCAGGGAATGGACTCGGACAGGCAGGGGGATGGGATTTGAACTCCTGCTGTTGGGACACAGGTGCATGGGCCAGTAGCACTGAGAGCCTGGGGCAGATTGGACACAGGCTCCTGAGTTCCCATCATCCTGGCCGTGCTGCAGCCCAGGATGGCACAGGAGCGCTGTGAGCAAACCAGGCAGGGCAGTCTGAGATGCGAAGCCGCCCGTGGCAGGGAGTCGTGCAAGGAGCCCACTTGTGTGCCCGCTAAGGGAGCTGGGCAGCCCAGCCGGGGGCGGCAGAGCAGGCAACTCTTGGAGTCTTGCCCTGCCTGTGCAGGCAGAGTCCGGCCAGGCACTGTGACTGGGGCTCTGTGCGGGGCCCAGGCCTGCCTCAGGCTCAGTGGAACGTGGAGCTTGGGCTGGCATTTGGAGGAGCCGGAGCTCTGTGGTGAGTGGACAGGTGGTGGCTCCCAGCTGCATGGCCCCCCTTTGCTAACCCACATACCAGTGCAACCCCCAGTCTCCAGTAAGGGAGACCCATGACCCGAGGCAGTGCAGGCCCCTACAGAGCCTCTGGATGCGAGAAGCGTCTCCCGCTGGGTACAGGTGGAGACAGACTCACACTTCCACGGAGTGGATGAGGGGTGGGGTCAGGGACGGCCCTGCCCACCTCCCTCCAGGGTTCCGACACAGCTGCTCTTTGGTCCAGACAGGAAAACATCTGACGTGTAGTGAGTTCAAAGCCATTCGGATTGGGCCTTAGCCAGGGAGAACGCATGGGAACGAGCAGCTTTCCACAGGGTGGGGGGCGGAGCAGCCGCTCACACAGGCATGTGCATCTCGTTGTACTCGTCCCGGCCGTCCTCGTCAAAGTTCGGCTCCGCGTCCTCAGAGTCCAGCTGTGGGCAGACACAGAAGCTGGGCAGTGACCAGAGCCGGGCTCCTGGTGGCCCTCCCGCCAATCTCAGACACCAGCCCAGGGGACAGGAGCCAAGGCCCTCACCCACCCTGCTGGGGGGATGTTGGTATCGAGCGCTTTGCCCGTTATGTCGCAGGGTGCTTACATTGTCTCCTTCCCCCTCCCGCGTGACCCATTCCTCCCTCCCCACTCTCTGGCTTGGTGTCCTTCCCCTGGACATTCCCCTTCCCCGGTAGCTCTGGTGCTGGCTCCTCTGCTAGGTAGCAACAGCCCCTAGGAAAGGCTGTGAAGCTCCTCCACGCCTCCAGCTGCTGACACAGGCTCTTCTCTGTGGTGAGGCCCCTGGACCCCACCCACAGAAGATGGAAATTGGCCCCAGCCCCTGGGCTCTCGGTCTGGAGACCTCTGTGTTTGACAATATCAATGTCCGGGGAACTGGGCATGTTGGCTGGGCTGTCCCAGCCGTTGCCAGGGAGGGGACGGCCAGATAGCTCCAGACCAACCTCACCAGATCCGGCAGCCCTGACCGTGGAGAGCGAGATGGAGCAGGGAGTCCCCGTTCCAGGCTTCTGCTTCTCCAGGCATCTGTGAGCTCACTGGGGCAGGATGCCCTGGCTCTGTTGGAAAGTGCTGGGTCTGGCCTAGGCACTACTGCGGATAAATCACCACCCACAAGAAGCTGGAGAAAGCTCCCGGCCCCTCTGGGCAGGCAGTGCCCCACATGCCAGCTGCCTGAGCGAACTGAAGACGGCCCCGCCCCGGGGAGATGGATGCGGGTCACACACAGCTGCTTACGGCTTTGAGCTCCCGGTCCTGAAAGAAGCGGGGCAGCAGGAATCGTCGTAAGGGCACCGTCATAATCAGGACAAAGGGGAAAGCTAACGAGGCCACTGTTGACTTCACCACCCAGAGCACCACGATGCAGGCCAGCTGAATGCAGGTGAAGAGGTTCATTCTCCAGGTCTTCACCTGGGGACACAAGTCCAGCCTAGCAACGCACCATCCCTCAGGGAGATAAGCCACCTCCCCCTCCCACCTGAGCGTCACAATGACCTCCCAGCCCCAGCGCCCCGTCTACAGCACGGCCCCACTGAACGCTCGGCCCCCCATCCACCCAGTCCCGTCTACAGCACGGCCCCACTGAACACTGGGGCCCTCCAGCCCACGGGTTGCCCTATCCACCCAGCCCCAGCTCCTCGTCTACAGCATGGCCCCACTGAATGCTCGGCCCCTCCAGTCTGCGAGTCACCCCTTCCTCCCAGCCCCGGCGCCCCGTCTACAGCATGGCCCCACTGAATGCTCGGCCCCTCCAGTCTGCGAGTCACCCCTTCTTCCCAGCCCCGGCGCCCCGTCTACAGCACGGCCCCAGTGAACGCTCAGCCCCTCCAGCCCGCAAGTCACCCCTTCCTCCCAGCCCCGGCGCCCCGTCTACAGCACGGCCCCACTGAACGCTCAGCCCCTCCAGACAGTTCACGGATAGTTCCCCTCTTACATCTCCCACCCAGGGCCTCTCATTCTCCCTGGTCCCCACCCGCCAGCCACCCCCATGTCCCAGCCCCAGCCCTGGCTCCCCGAACTGCCCCTGCTCACTCACCTTGACGACGTAGACGTGGTCCGGGTGGTGCTTGGCCGGCATGAAGATGAGGAGGAGACGCTCGTAGAGCTGGATGCCGGTGAGAGACGTGACCCCCATGTAGAGGAAGATCCCGAAGAGCACGGCCAGGGGGATCCGGCGCAGCATGTTGCCCATCACAATGGACAAGCCTGGAAGGACAGAGCTCAGGGCATCACCCACCTGCAGCCTCCCCAGCTGCTTGTCCGCTGCACATGGACCATTGTTCGGACACCACCTGCGTCTCTCTAGCTGCCACACAGGACAGGGTAGGGGCGGTCACTGTCAGGAGCCCTCAGCTGGGGGAGCTGTGGGATGGGGCGGGGGCTCTATGGAGCTGTCGGGGGCAGGGCTGGGGCACTGGCCCTGGGGCTCTTTTGGTGGCAGGGCTGGGGTGCTGGTCCTGCAGAGCTGTTGGGAGCAGGGCTGGGGGCCATGGGGAGCTGTCGGGGGCAGGGCTGAGGCAGGACTAAGGCGCTGACCATGGAGAGATGTTGGGGACAGTGCTGGGACGCCGGCTGTGGGGAGCTGTCGGGGGCAGGGCTGGAGCACTGGCCATGGGGAGCAGGTCAGGCATTAGTTGTGGGCACTGGCTGTGGGAGCGGCTGGAGCGCTGGCCATGGAAAGTTGTTGGGAGAGGGCTGGGGCACTGGCCGTGGGGGGCAGGTTGGGCACTAGTTGTGGGGGAGGGGAGAGGCATTGGCTGTGGGAGCGGCTGGGGCGCTGGCCATCGGGAGCTGTTGGGGGCAGGGCGTGGGACGCTGGCCGTGGGGCGCTGTCGGGGGCAGGGCGTGGGGATGTGGGAGCTGGTCGAGTGGGCAGGGCTGAGGCGTGGGCTAAGGCGCTAACCGAGTGGAGAGATGTTGGGGGCAGGGCTGGGACGCTGGCCGTGGGGGGCAGGTTGGGCACTAGTTGTGGGGAACGAGTAGGGCACTGGTTGTCCATGCTAGGTAAGGTCGATGGCCGCAAAGTAGCAGCGCTGGTTTTGGGGCCAGGGCAGAGGTGCTGGCCACAAGGTGCGGGGTGGGGTGCTGGTTGTTGGGGGAGGGAGGGCTGGCGGCGAGATAGGGGCAATGGCCATGGGGCGGGACACTGGTTTTGTGAGCAGGGTACTGGTGCTGGCCGCGAGGTAGGGGCACTGGCCATGAGGTAGGGGTGCTGTGTAACTAGGCCTGGCCTGACATGAGTAATTACCACTTGGCGGGAGGTCTCATTTCTTGGAGGCTAGAATTTGAGAGGTGTATAGACCATTAGGTTGAAAATGACAGAATGTCTGAGCCAGCTAAGCCAGGAGGGAGAACAGCCAGGAACCTTTACTAACAACAAACAAAGTGAGCTAGGAATACAGAGGTGAGGTACAGAGTAGGTCGAGCGTTTTGGACCCCAGGGAACGGGATGAAGTGTTCTCCCAGAATTGGACAAGCGGTGTGGAAAGGTCTTAGAGGGAGCCCCAACATGCTGGTCGGGGGGCGGAGTAGGGCTGCTGGCCATGGGGATCCTGCTAATCCTATCCCTGGACAACCTCTGCCCCCCCAGTTCAGTAGCTTGGGGCTCACCAACAAGGACAGCGATTGCAACTCCTGTCACGCGCTGCTCCTTCACCTCCTCGATCTTCGGCTTCTCCCCCGGAGCGATGGCCTTGCTCATGACTGTCAGGGCATTGACGTGGGTGACTGAGCGCACGGTGGCGGCAGTCAGCCAAGGGAGCCCGAACAGCGCGCAGAGCCCGCCCATGGTACCAATGAGCAGCAGGTCCAGATGGAAACCGGAGCCTTTCATGAGCTTCCTCTCCTTCTTACTGACAATCAGGCTGGGGGGAGAAGAGGGTCCTGCTGTCGGCACCAGGCGTGCTCAGCCCCGGGTCCTCCCTGCGCCTGTGCTGCTGGGGCAGAACATGTGCCCAATGGCCTTTGGAGCTGGGAGCACTGCTCACGCCCTGCACAGAGGTGCAGTTGGCAATACGAGCTGCCAGGCAGGGGAGAGTCCAGCCTGGCAAGTGGGGGAAGAGGTGACGTTCTTCGTCGCTCCTGGCCGTTCTCCTGTCTGCCAAGCCCAGGGACAGGCTCCTTTCCTGGGCGAGGCTGGTGCAGGCTACGTAGACTCCACCTGGCAGGGGAGGGGAACCCACAGCCACTGTGCAGGAAGGGCCATGACAGGAGAGTCCCAGGGAGCAGAACCCTGCCTCCTCCCGTCCAGACTGGGCATCCCGCAGCCCGAGCCTGCGGCTGAACACGCGGGGCCCAGCCCAACGCGGAGAACCCCTCACCTCGTCCATCTGCCCGCACAGCTGCCAGGCCCTGGCTCGGAGCCCAGTGGGACGAGGGAGCTACGGGTGCAGGCAGCAGTACTCACGTAGTGATCTGGGTCTCCATGAAAATGAGGATGAAGACCAGAAGTGCAGGGATGGCTGAGGCAAACATCATCCACATGGGAAAGGCCTGTCGGCTGCCCAGGGGGTGAATGAACCAGTCGCGCTTCTGGGGAGACGTGACTGAGAGCCCAGAGGGGACATTCAGCTTCTGTGAGAGCAGGAAAAAAACAACATTTACTTAACGACATTAAGCGCCTCAGCCCCCTATGGCTCCGACCCGGCTCTGGGTACCGCCGGGATCCACAGCCCCCTATGGCTCCAACCTGGCTCTGGGTACCGCCGGGATCCA